TAATCTATTTATATTTATTCCTTAAACGATAATCCCTAAACCCACGTATACTTTTATTTTATTTTCACTTAATAGTTTCTATCCGTTTTAAATATTATTTAGAGTTGATAAGACACGTCAAAACAATATGTTGAATCGATTTATAAATAACGCAGACAGAGTAGGACAAATATATTTATAATATAATGCCATCAATCAATAACACTTAATATGAAGTGACCCTCAGTTATTTTAATCGACTCTAAACCCATCATTTTTGTAACCCATTTGTAACTATTTCGTATGAATCAACATTCGTTTCTTATTGAAAATTACTGTGTATAAAGTACTTCTACACTAAATTCTCCCAAATTTCAAATAAATATCATAGCCGTAGATAACAAACTAAACAATAAGCAATATATATTTACCATTTAGATTTCTGAGCATATATTTTTATACATTGCATAGTTTATTTGTTATTTTGTAACGATGTTGGTTTTAATTGTGCAAATGCCAATTGAGTCAAAGGAATAATCAAAAAGTTGTTATAATTTAATGTGGTAATGTTATAATAATTTAAATGTAATTACATGAAATTTTAGAACATTAAAGCATATATTTTCAAATTGAATTTTATCACAATTGGTAGCAATACGTAATGTGTTCGGGCAACACTGTCGCTGCTCTGTCATACGTCACGACGGGCGTCGAACATTCACGCACTTCGACCCTGTCCCCCCCTCCCTGCTCAGGATTGTGGTGCACCGCGGGCTATCGCCGTCAACGGTAAACCAGTTCCGTGTGTGTGTCTCCGCTGACGCTTGTCGTCTTTTGTCAGCCGTTATTTTTATTTTGGGTTTTTTTATCGCGATTGCACCGCTCGTTCGCCATCCGCAGGTTCATCGCGTCGACGTAAGAAGTGACCATCCCTTCGTCCGTTGTGCCTGGCTTTGACCTCCTTGTGTCATCGCTCCGTTTGTGGTATCGTTCGTGCCCGAGCACATGTGGTCTACACCCATTTCCGTCGCGCCATTCTCAAACTATTCAGTTTCTTGGGCTTTTGCGTGTTCGCGTTTCTGTTAATTCTCATATTAGTGCCGCTGACCGCTGTTATTAACTAGTGCGGCCCTGTGCGCCCATCCCCGGGATTCGTGATCGGTCGGGAGAGATTCACGTGGAATCTTCAGTGTCCATTGTTGTCCGCAGTTCGCCGTTACGCCGTGAGCGCTGCACCAGCCAGGTGTACCAACCCCCGCCTCTGACGGCATGCACGTTAGTGAAACCTCCGGTCATTGGTAATCAGTTGGTACCTGTCATCCTCGCCGCCGTCCAGGAATCAGTTGTGGCTGTTATCACTGCTATCATTGACGACCAGATAAGAGATTGTTTTGTTTTGTTATCATTTTGTATTCTATCGCCATTCCTCATACTTTAGGTCATTGTTAAGGTGTGATCACACCCCCCTGCCAAATATTGTATCATTTTACTAGTTTTGTATAATAATAAGTTTAACCTCGTGCCCAAGCGCACATCTTGTAATTTTGCATTATATTATTTTTTTCGCACCGTAGTGGTTAATAACCTCCTCCTAACTTACACACAGGCTAACTCATCGGAAATAGACGCGCCGCGAGTATCGCTGTGGCCAGCTGACGATCTCGGTTCAACAGCTCCACGGCGGTGCGCAATCATTTTTGGTAGCAGAGCGTGGTTGGTACCTTATGGGGGGTCCCAGCGTAGCGGCGTGCTAAAGTTTTATTTGGGTTAGTGGTGTCATTGCATACGTTCAATCACCGTCCATCGTCACGTGACCAAGTAATTTATTGTTTCTTTCGCTGCTAAACGTACTTAGTCTTAACTGTTTGCGATGGTCGAAACCAAGAAAGAGCTCGATGAGCGCCGAACGATTGCGAAGCTCAAACGGGAGTCCGCGATCGACGGTATAAAGGCTGTGCATGCCATGATAGCTCGCGTGAGTACAGATCCAGGCTTCATTCCCAAATTTATTTTAAACGTTGATGGTCTCGATGCTTTGTGGTCCCAATTCAAGGTCGACGATAACGCGTTTTTGGAATGTCTCGTTAAGTTGAATAGAGCATCGGAGTACGTGGTAGGACAAGCTGGTGAAATGAGTGCTCTAATCAATTCCGCGAGAGCCGTCGCCAATTTACATCGCCCAACGCGTTCCATGTCCGCGGTGGACAACAATGCCGGAAATACGTCAAGCTTATCTGGCGCATCACAATGTCAAACTTTCTCGCGACTCCCTGAGATCCCGCTACCAAAGTTCGGAGGTGATTTCCACTTGTGGCCGTCATTTCGTGATAGGTTCACGGCATTGGTCGACGTCCGCCCGGGACTCTCAAATATCGACAAGTTACATTATTTGACTGGTTGTCTGCACGGTGTTGCACTGGACGCTATTCGTAGCATACCCGCGTCTGACGAAAATTACAAACTTGTATGGTCCACACTGACATCACGGTTTTACCGACCCCGTATGGTCGCGACGTCTTTGATCGAAAAATTGCTAAACGCGCCGTCGTCGTCCCAGGAATCTTTGCAGGATCTCACCACCCTGTTGACCACATTCGAAGAAAACATTTCACTACTGTTCGCGATGGACATCCCCGATTTCGGATCGTTCGTGTTGTTTTCTTTAGCCTTTCGCACGTTACCGCTCGGTACTCGGAAGATGTTTGAGTCCACCATATCCAGCAATGTTACGTATCCTTCCGTCGATAAATTGTTGGACTTCATCCGTGGTCGCATTACAGTGTTGGAAAATGTCGGTGAATCGAAGAAAGCCAGTAATAAGTCGAAGGTGTACCCTATCACAGGACCGGTTGCCAACCTTCGGTCGGGACAACGTAATCCTGTAGCTTTAGTCGCTGCTAAGCCACCAAGCACCGGCTCTAGTGATTCTACCGTATCGTGTCCATGTTGTTTAGAGTCACACACTATTAGCAAGTGTTCAAAATTCCGATCGTGGTCCTTGGACAATCGGAATGAATGGGCCCATGACAATAAAGTGTGTTTTAACTGCCTCGGCGGTAACCACTGGATTCGGGCTTGTCCATCGAAATCGAGATGTCAGACATGTTCCAAAAAGCACCATACGCTTTTACATGGTGCCACGTCTACGCCTAAGGATAACGGAGTTGAAAACAGCGAAGACGCCGGGGAAGCGTCATGTTGCGCTGCATCGTTGTCGCCGCGCCCGAGTGCGATACCGACCGTATTGTTAGGTACCGCGTTAATTCATGCCCGCGATAGGGCTGGTACGTGGCAAACCGTCCGCGCCTTGGTGGACTCCGCGTCGCAGATCAGTGCTATGACGGTCGCGTGTTCAACCCGTCTTGGGTTCAGGCCCCGACCATGGACTATGCCAGTAAGTGGTCTATCCGGCACGCCCGTTATCAGCGTCAAAGGTGTCGTTGAGTGTCATGTACGACCGCGATTCGCGTCCGAGCCCGAACTCGCTGTCCAGGCGTGGGTGTTGCCGTCCATCACAAGCGATATGCCACGCACCTCACTCCCTACGGATATAAAGGACCGATTTTCTAGTTTGGCATTAGCGGACCCTCAGTTCCACGAAACTCAGCCGGTTGATATGTTACTTGGTGCTGACGTATTCTCCGCAATTTTGGATGGTCGAAAAGTCAAAATCGACGAATCGTTACCAACGGCTTTTAGCTCGATATTCGGATGGGTCCTCATCGGGCCACTCCCGGCGGTTCTTACCTGTCATCTCACCACACCAGTGTCCTTAGCGACCTCCATTGAAGATATGATGGGAAAATTTTGGGCTGTCGAAGAACCGGACGCCGCACCGTCATCGTTCACTGACGAAGGTTGGTGCGAGACCCAATTCCGCACTGAACATAGTCGTTTGCCGTCCGGTCGCTTTCAAGTGCCACTCCCAGTTCGTAAACCGATACCACAGTTAAATTTCCCGGGTTCGCGCTCCGTAGCGCTAAAGCGTTTTGAATCGCTCGAACGCAAATTGAGTGCCAATACCACACTGCGTGACGCGTACCGCGATTTCATGTCCGAATATTTGTCGCTTGGTCACATGTCGGTGGCCGCCACTCCAGGGCGATACATTATCCCCCATCATGCAGTTTGTCAACAGTCCAACGGTGGTTTAAAGATCCGGGTCGTGTTCGACGCTTCGGCCACGGCTCACGACGGGACGTCGTTAAATAATTGTCTCCACCAGGGTCCTAAGCTTCAACAGGATATTGTGGACATCTTGACTCGATTCCGGGTACACAAGCTGGCGTTCACTACGGACATTTGCAAAATGTATCGGCAAGTCTTAGTGGCGCCCGAGTACCGTCCACTCCAACACGTGTTGTGGCGAGCGTCTCCGCAAGACCAACTCGTTGAGTATGAGTTGAATACGGTGACGTACGGCTTGAATTGCGCTCCGTTCTTAGCGCTTCGCGTGTTAGCTGCCATCGCTGATGAAGACCGCGCGGGATATAAAACCGTACGTCAGGCGATATTGCAGCAAACCTATGTCGATGACATATGTGTGGGAGCAGATTCAATCGACGATATTTTATCGCTTCAGCATGACTTAATCACCGTGCTAGGCAAATCAGGCTTGGAGCTTAAGAAATGGTCCAGTAACTGTCCCGCGGTTCTCGACGCTGTACCTTCTTCCGCATGTGCTACGGGCCCGTTACCTTTCGACGCTGTGGATGGGGGTGGTATCAAGGTTCTCGGCCTGCAATGGCAGCCAACCGAGGATGTTTTTGGGTGTGCACTCCGGTGTGAGTCACCACCTGTATACACTAAACGTGGCGTATTATCGATGATCGCACGCATTTTCGATCCGTTGGGTCTATTTTCACCGGCCACCTTTTATGCGAAGCATATTATGCAACGGACATGGCTCGAAAAACTTGGCTGGGACGAACCGCTTCCTCATGACATACAACAGGATTGGACTACATTCGTTGAATCATTACCGTTTTTACGTCCAATAAAAATTCATCGTTTTTTTAACACGCGGTCCGCCGCCACCTGTTTGTTGTTGGGATTTTGTGATGCATCACAACACGGATACGCCGCTGTCATATATCTTCGCGTGCTGGACGACCGGGGTGACGCTCGAATTTCATTGGTCGGATCGAAAACGAAGTTGGCGCCAATTAAACCCTTAACTATCCCACGGTTGGAGTTAAACGCCGCTGAGTTGCTGGCGCGTTGGTTAAACCGCGTCAAATGCACTCTCGATCAACAACTGCACATCGCCGGTGTATATGCATGGACGGACTCGACGATCGTACTGTCATGGTTGGTCAACCGCCATGAAACGTTCAAGATATATGTATCCAACCGGGTACACAGAATAAATTCGCTCCTCCCGGGTTGTATTTGGTCACATGTATCGTCGGCGGACAACCCCGCCGATTGTGCTTCCAGAGGTGTATTACCATCAGAGCTTGCGTCATTAACTCTTTATTGGGAAGGTCCTAGTTTTCTTCGCTGTGACCCGTCATCGTGGCCAGCGGGTGCCACGATGCTTCCCTTGAACGAGTTACCTGAAGTCCGAGTGTCTTCGTTGACTGTCAGCGCTCAACTTCCCACTACCGAGTGGTTCGACCGTTTCTCGTCGTATGACAGACTGTTACGCGTTGTTGCTCGTATTCTCCGGTTCATACACAGGTTCCGTAGCCGCGTACCGTGTGAGCGACCGATAGCTTTCGCCCGTCATGAGGTCGACGCAGCCCTTCGCTCGTTAGTGATAGAGTCACAACGGACATTTTTTTGAGCAACTGTTGCACGAGTTAAACCATAACCGTCGAGTGTCAAACAAGCCACTCGCCCGCCTGTGTCCGTTTATTGATCCGGATGGTATCGTTAGAGTTGGCGGTAGATTACGTCACTCGCTACTAACGTATGAGCGTCGGCACCCAATACTCTTAGCGAAGCGATCGCACCTTGCTTTATTGTTGTGCCGCCGCTGGCATCGCCTGAGTTGTCATGCCGGACCACGTGTCGTGACCGCCATGGTATCCCGACAATTCTGGATTGTCTCCATACGATCGGTATTACATCGGGTGAGCAACGAATGCGCTGTTTGCGTTCGGTTTGATCGTCCATCACCACGGCCGCTAATGTCTGATTTGCCACCTGCCCGTGTCCAGCAATGCCGACCGTTTGTCCGTGTAGGCATCGATTTTGCTGGTCCCCTGCAACTGCAAGAAACGCGCCTACGGAAGTCTCGATCATACAAAGTGTATGTCGCCGTCTTTATTTGTTTCGCGGTGAAGGCATGCCACCTCGAGGTTGTCACGGAGTTATCAACGTCCGCTTTTCTCGCGGCATTCGACCGTTTTGTCGCTCGGCGCGGTTTACCGTCAGATGTCTTTACTGACTGCGGGACCAATTTCGTGGGTGCCGACCGACAATTAAACGCGATCATCAATAGCCCGGAAGGACAAGCTGCATTGGGTGACTCACGTTCACATTGTTCTTGGCATTTTAACCCGCCCAGCGCTCCACATTTTGGGGGTTTGTGGGAGGCTGCGGTTCGATCCATGAAGAGGTTGTTGATTCGTGTCATGGGAAACCACCAGTTTTCATACGAGGAATTTACCACCGTGCTGTGTCGAGTAGAGGCGGTGCTCAATTCCCGTCCGCTCACGCCATTGTCATCTGACCCGTCCGACCTTGACTATTTATCTCCAGGCCACTTCCTCATTGGCCAGCCATTACTCGCGGTACCACCCAGAATTTCGACGCAAGACCAATCTAATCTCGTCAACCGCTGGAAACTGTTGGACCAATGTCACCAGGCATTTTGGCGACAGTGGTCCACCGAATACTTGACCACGTTGCAGAGCCGCACAAAGTGGACCACAGGAGCTCCAAATGTTCACCTCAACGATATCGTCGTCATCCGGGACAACCAGTCTCCCCCCTTGTTGTGGCGAATGGGAAGGGTAATCGCATTGTTGCCAGGAGCAGATGGTGTAGTGCGCGTGGTCCGTTTGCGAACCGCTCACGGCGAAGTAACTCGCCCCGTCGTCAAGTTGGTCGTGCTCCCCACCCAAGGGATCCGTCCAGGTACATCCTGTTAGGTGTTACACACGCTCTGTTCGCCTGTGTGTTTCCTTTATATAAGTGATTTCCTTTCTAGATATGTTTTGTTTGTTTCTGGGATATTGTTACAGTACCCTATTTATTTTAGTTTATATTGTTTAAAAATATGTTATAATATGTGTATGTTATTAATTTTTTGTTGGTGGTAAGTGATGACAAGCCAAAACTGATTCCGTGAAGCAATCATCATCTTCCAGTCGTCCAATGCCATCCGTGCATCCGCGGATGTGAGGCTGCGCCTCCCATGGGGGGAATATGTTCGGGCAACACTGTCGCTGCTCTGTCATACGTCACGACGGGCGT